CCCATGGTGGCAGTGGACTAGCACTCCTTAAGTGGCAAACGCAGCAGCAACACTGCTAAACCAGGAGACAAGGGTCACTTTACTTACTTGACAGAAGTCATAACACCCACCCAGCTAACAGGGAAAGAAAAGAATGAAGAGATTATGGAAGTGAGTCATATACAATGGATAGTGTTTTTCAGTGGCCTTTGATGAAACTGGGCGTTTTTCAGTGATACATAAAGCAACTCCCAAAACTGGGGTATAGCTCAGCTCAAAATAAAATAAAAATTGGGGTCTAGCTGACAGGTACCATATAGTTAGCTACAGACCTAACAATATGTCAGAACCTTGAAGCATTACATTTGATCAAACTAAGCCTTGCAGAATTTCTACCACTGAGCCTCTGATTGTGAGCTGCTACATTAGATTTAACAGTGTGTTTTTTATTCAGTAATGGGCATTAGATACTAATTTTGGCCTGTATTATAATGATCATTCAGGTGGGCTCAATCATTGAACTTAGAAGGTCCTATCAAGCATATAATGTGATGCCAGCACTAAGCAAAGTTTTGAAGAGATATGGTGCTTAAGGTTATGCAAGCACATATGGTGGTGATGACGGTTCCATTCCTGCAGGTAGTTTCTCCACTCTGTTGCTATCTTTTATCAGGGTTTACAGGCTTACAACTTCGCTCTATATTGCAAACTTTTGAGTGAATATTGTTTTCAACAGCTTGAAGTACCTCACAAGCTGCTGTTGGTTTGGATTGGAATGATAGAGAATTGGTTCTGGATCGGTCTTCTTTGTCTTCAAGGCCATACTTGGACTAAAGAACCAATTAGGATACCCAACTGTTTTTTACTGAAGGATATCCAGTTGTTCTGGTTTTAGTACAGGGAGGATGAAGGAGCTGCGCCGTCGTGCCTTTGGGTGCACTGCAATGGTTGACGAATTGTCTCATTGCGGACCAACGAAAAAGGTTGGGTACCCCGTACCCGGTTCATCCTGTTCCTGTTGTACGTATATATTTCTAGCGTTTCATATCGCTGAACAGCTAATATGAAGGTAGATTGTAGTCGCCTCTGAAAGGCCGGACACAGATTGGTTGGGTAGTAACTGCTTCCAACATAGTATGAAGATATCGAATGTGACCTGCACTTCGGTGCGAAACAGTGTACTAACAAGATTTTGCTGTGTTTATGTATGACTGGAATCTCTTTGTAGGCGTAGTAGGGCAAGTTCGGTTGATGTAATAATTTGCTAATACCTGGCAATCCGGATTATGTTTTATATGACATTAACACGTGTACTTTTCCCTAAAAAACACGTGTACTCCTCTCAATGATTTGAGTGATTCTGGTACTCGTATGATTGAAACCAGCATTGAAACAACCACAAAAGTGACGGCATGAATGAAAAGATTCCCAGGAAAGACGAAGATTGATGGTGTCAAAGCAAGGTCACCCTCCTACCCTTCTTGCCGGTGGCGCTCTTCTCTTCTCTACAGTGGGGGTGAATAGGTGATTGTTATGAAAGACTTCGAAACAGACAATGCCTTTGAAGTCGGGCAGTTGAAACAAAGCCTAAACAAAATACAACGGAAGGTAAGCTACACTAGCAATGTAACAGTCAAGGTATAGTACTGAGAAAGCATGAGGACAAGTAGTAGCTAGGTAGAATAGATCAAAATAGGAAGACAGTGTGAAGCTAAATATGCAATCAGAGTGAATGTTTTCATACAAGTATTCAACCAGAGCAGACAAACAATGACTTCACGAAGTTAAACAGAAAGGTAAGAGGTGAAGTGATAGAGCCAGTTGCCCGAAGAAGACAAGAATTTGGTAGATTAGTTTCAGCTGCTGTGACAACTGTATGTCTGGTTAGGGAGGCTGAGATTGAACTAAGAAGACCACGTCTTCACCTTATTCCTCTTGAGCTAAGGTCACTTAGTCCTCGTCCAATCCCTCGGGTAAGTCTTCAAGATAAACTTTAAACATTTCACAGACTTCGTTCACCGGCGATCCACAATGACTCTTGGATCCTCATAACGCGGCACCTAACCGACTGAAAGATCATAGTCTTCAAGTGTAATAAGTCTTCAGATCACGCAAAACAGAAAGACTTCAGTGATGCCGAACACTCTTTGGGCTTTGGGTGTTTTGGGTTTTGTCCTCGCAAGGATTCTCTCTCAAAGGCTTTGGAGGTGAGTTGCTCTCAAACGACAAAAGCCGTGTACTAACTCTGAGCAGCCACCAATTTATGGTGGAAGGGGGTGGCTATTTATAGCCAAGGGATAACCCGACATGATTTGTCCGAAATGACCCTTGGTCATTGGGGAACCGACACGTGTCCAACGGTCAAACACACGCGACAGCTTGACTTGGGCTGCAAGCCAAGCTGACTCATCCAACTCAGGATAAGATTTTCTCTCATTTGTCTTCGCTTGAAAACATCGGATTTGGGTTGAGCATCACGTCAGTTTTCTGACTTTGTTCACTTGGACCCCACTTGACAGTTCGGTGGTTCCTATAACTCAAGAAAGAAGAAAATGAAACTACGAAAGAAACTATGTCTTCGCACTCCATTGTCTAAAAGCAAATGTCTTCACGTGTCATTATCTTCGACACGTATGTCCTCGCGAACCACCAATGTCTTCAACGTCTTCATATATTTTTAGGGGTCATTTTTGATTGGTAAATTGAATCAATAGGGACTTCTATCTGTGTTCTCCAGTGCATCTCACAAACACATTAGTCCCTCCAACCAAGTTTACCGTCAATACTCCAAAACCAATTAGGGGTGGCACTAGATGAATATGAACAATATAAATTTCTTCATCTGAAGGTTGATTGAAGAATGAATTAACACACAAGCAAATGAGCAAGTGTATATAAACGCGACTTAAGAGATTCTTTGTGTGAAATTGGGTAATAGAAAGGGCGAGGAAGATAGGTATATAATGGACTGAATACTGAAGAAACAAGTGGACATGCAGTTTCAATCTAAGTGCCCATCTGAATCTAAATACTAAATGCTAGTTTCAGATGTGGATAAATGATAATGAAGAACTAAATGAATAGGAACTAATAAATTAAGTTGATGATAAGCTAAGCTGCAGGGGAACAACATATGCTTGCGTGCTCGATTGTTGGCAGAATCCCAACATAACTATGGAAAGCAATCCACCACAAGTGACGTGTACCAGTCAGAACTAAATGAGCCAATTCCTCTAATCTCTCTTCCGATCTATGGCAGAAGTGTAGATATCCCTTGTCAAATCTTCCTTCTTACAAACAAGCAAGCAAATGAAGGGTAAATAGACTGAACCGCCAAATACTAAGAATGCGCTCACAAATGACGATCCAACCTGCAAAATCAACATTGACAAACAAACATGGTATCAAAGCAACAAACTAATTTCTTTCAACGTGGTTACGAAAATAATTAATTAGTTTTGGAGCATTCATCCAGTATTGACACACTCCTTTAGAAGAAGAAAAAGAACAGCATAACAAACACAAACTGCGCGAAATGAAATTGGGGATGGGAATCAAAAGAGGGATAACCGATCGGGAACCACTTTAGCAGCATCCTTCATCTATCTCCCCCTCGGCCAGGCTCCATCTTCCCACTGCCACAACACGTAAATGTAGATAGCATTTGGGCAGAAAAATAAAGACAGACCGATTGGGAGAGAACATGAAGGGCATGAGCACACGTGATGTTGACGGAGGGAGAGGAAGAATAAGCGTCTGTCTCTGTCACCGCATCAATTTGGCAGAGGGAAAAGAAAAGAAGAAGCTCCGGTCGCCGCCGGAGACGGGCCCAACGGGTGAAGGCTGATGGCGAGCCCGGCGGGAGAGCTCTTCCGATCTCCTCCTCCCCGTACCACCCTTTCCCCTACCTCCTGCCGTTGTAGGACAGCAGGCCTCCCTCCTCTCAGCGCTCACCGCTGTCCATGGAGCAAGCCCCTGCCGCTCACGTGCACATCCATCTCAGCGTTACTTTGCAGCTACGTACACGTGGACGAATATGAGGCGAACGATCTCGACTCGGAACGTACGGGCCTTCCAACCCGAGTCGATTTCTTCAGGCCGGGCCTTCAAAAGGGGGGCTCACCGCCTCACCCCCAGGTACCCTCTTCACCGCAACACGAAGCTAAGCCCTCGACATCAAACGAGAGTAGTAATCCACGAGAGACGCAGTGAATCGACCAAAACGCGATTGCGAGCGTGGCGGCATCGAAGAAGGCGCGAACCGGCTGGTGGTGGAGGAGGCCACCACCAACGACGACAACTCTGTGTGCATCCTCCACCCCGCCACCATGGAGAAGCTCTCCATATTCAAAGGCGACGTCGTGCTGCTCAAGGGCAAGCGCCGCCACAACACGGTCTGCATGGCACTGCCCGATGACACCTGCGAGGGGCACAAGCTCGGGATCATTAATCAACAAGGTAGCCCGCTTCAACCTACGCGTGCGCATCGCCGACGTCGTGTCGGTGCACCTGTGCCATGACGCCAAGTTCGGCAGACGCGTGCACATCCCCCCCTTGGACGACACCGTCAAGGGCATCGCGGGGAACCTCTTCGACGCCTACCTCAAGCCCTACTTCGTGGACGCCTACCGCCCGGTCCACAAGGGTGACCTCTTCCTTGTGCGTGGCGGCATGCGGTGCGTCAAGTTCAAGGGCATGGAGATCGACCCCGCGGTGGACTACTGCGTCGTGGCGCCCGACACGGAGATATTCTGCGAGGGCGACCCGGTCAAGCGGGAGGACGAGGAGAGGCTCGACGGCGTCGGCTATGGCAACGTGGGTGGCATGGGAAAACCGCTCACTCTGATCAGGAGCTCGTCGATCTGCCGCTTAGGCATCCGCAGATCTTCAAGAGCATTGGCGTCAAGCCTCCCAAGGGCATCCTCCTCTATGACCCTCCCAGGTCGGGCAAGACGCTGATCGCCAGTGTGGTCGCCAACGAGACCGGGGCCTTCTTCTTCCTCATCAACGGCCCGGAGATAATGTCCAAGATGGACGGAGAGAGTGAGAGCAACCTGAGGAAGGCCTTCGAAGAAGCCGAGAAGAACACGCCCTCCATCATATTCATCGATGAGATCGACTCCATTGCTCCAAACAGGGAGAAGACTCTGTTGGGTGCTGGACAGCAACAATGCACTACACAAATTCACCGACACGGCAAATATGCACACTACACAGCCCCTTCCACTTGTGATGAACTTTGAGGACAGATTCAACCAACAAGTAAGTAGCGAAATAACACAAACAACATGCACATGTGACACGGGATTTAATGTGAAAAAACCTCCTCAACTTGAGGAGTAAAAAACCACGGCTATGGACCGACCGGTCCACAAAACTTCACTATGAGAATGATGAGTAGAAAGTCTTCTCTAGAACCTCTAGAGAGATTTACAACACACTCTCCACGTTGCCAACCGGCAACAGCAACAACAACCACAAGAAGCAAGATTTCAACAAAGCAGAGTTTACACAGCTTTTGTACCCTTCAGTGTTTTGCAAACTGCTCTTAAACCACTGAACCAAACATCACCAAATTTGGCAGACACATAGACACATGAGTTCTTGACATCCCCTCCAAATTTCAGCTCAATCGGACATCATTTGCCTACCCAAACTGTTCGTCTCCCAAAACTACTCTGTTCTAAAACTGTAGCAGTCAGAGCTGACAAAACCACTCTCAAATCTGATGCTCCACTAACCCAATCCTCAAACCAGCTAACCAGATCAAAGTACTCAAAGTAAAGGAACGAGCTCACCAAGTTTGGGGTCGATCCAAGCACATTTGAGCCTCCAACCACCAGCTTGAACACTGTCTAGTCAGATGCAGCAAATCTGGACAGAACCTCTGCTTCTTCTTCTTCCTCTCTCTCAGGTTGTGTTTTCTCTTGTGTGCTCTCACTCTCACTCCCACGAATGGCAGCCGCCACCAGCAGGGGTGGAGTGGCTAGGGTTTTCTCCTTGCTTCACTTCACTTGAAAGCACTCTCAACCGTTGGATGCAGCGAGGATCAACGGCTGACATGTGTTGGACTTATGGGCTGATGTTTGGCTGCCAACACACCTCCATGTGGAGGGACTTAGCCCAACAAACTCCCCCTCCCGACATCATGGAGGGTCTCACTGCCTTCCGGCAGCCATGCTAGCGAGACGGTGGCATACTTCAAGTTTCTTCATTGTCACCAGTTTAGTCAGCATATCAGCCTCATTGTCATCGGTGTGAACCTTCTCAAGTTGCATTTTCTTGGAATACAACACATCTCGAATCCAATGATAACGGACCTCTATATGCTTAAACCTTGAATGAAAGATTGAATTCTTACTTAAGTGGATAGCACTTTGGTTGTCACAAAACAACACATATTTGTCTTACTTAAAACCAAGCTCACAAGCCAACCGTTTCAGCCACAATAGTTCTTTGCTCGCCTCTGTTACTACAATGAATTCAGCTTCAGTTGTATTCAATGCCACACATTTTTGCAGCCTGCTTTGCCATGACACCGCTCCCCCTGGATAGGTAACCAAGTAACCTGAAGTAGACTTCCTTCTGTCAACATCTCCAGCCATGTCAGAATCTGAAAAAGCAACCAGCTTGGCTTCACCACCACCAAAGCAAAGTTTCATATTTGTCCTGCCCCGGAGATATCTCGAAATCCACTTCATGGCTTCCCAATGAGGTCTTCTTGGATTGGACATAAATCTGCTGACAGTACTAACCGCATGAGCAATGTCAGGCCTTGTACATACCATAGCATACATCAAACTCCCTACCGCTGAAGCATAAGGAACATGATGCATTTCCTTTTTCTTCTCATCAGTGGTAGGACATTGCTTTCTGGTCAACTTGAAATGGGCTTCTAGTGGACAACTCACAACTTTAGCATTTTCCATCCTGAACTTCTGAAGTACCTTCTCAATATACTTCTCTTGAGACAAGTACAACTTGTTGCAATTTCTGTCTTGCTCAATTCTCATCCGGAGAATGTTCTTTGTTGGACCTAAGTCTTTCATAGCAAAACATTTGCTCAACTTCTTCTTTAACTTAGCAATCCTAGAGACATTCTTGCCAACAATCAGGATATCATCAACATAGAGCAATAATATGATGAAATCATCACCTGAGAACCTCTGAATAAACACACAATGGTCTGAGCTGCACTTCTTGTAGCCTTGCTCCCCCATGACAGTTTCAAACTTCATGTATCATTGTCTTGGTGCTTGTTTCAGGCCATAGAGACTTTTCTTCAGCTTACACACATAGTCTTCTTTGCCTATCACAAGAAACCCCTCATGTTGCTCCATGTATATTTCTTCCTCCAACTCACCATGAAGGAATGCAGTCTTCACATCCATTTGCTCAACCTCCAAGTTGAGACTTGCTGCCATGCCAAGGATTACTCTTATGGATGCCATCTTCACAACCGGGGAAAAGATATCATCATAGTCAATGCCTTTTCTCTGGCCGAATCCTTTTACATCTAGCCTGGCCTTGTACCTTGGATGTGATGTGTGCTCTTCTTGCTTGATTCTGTAGACCCACTTGTTCTTCAAAATTTTCTTGCCCTTGGGCAACTTCATCAACTCATAAGTATGATTCTTATGCAAGGAATACATCTCTTCTTGCATAGCATTTTCCACTCTTTCTTGTGCTCATCTTCTATTGCATCTGCAAAGCATTCAGGTTCTGAACCATCAGATAATAACACCACGTATTGATCTGAGGGATACCTGCTGGAAGGAATTCGACCCCTGTTGGATCTTCTGAGTGGAGCAGCTGGTGGACTTTCTGGTGCTGGTGCTTCCTGCTGATCCAGATCATCAACTTCAGCATCATACTCTTGTTGTTGCTGCTGGGGAGCATCTTATTCACCCGCACCACCATGTACATCATCTTGTACATCTTCGGCATCTGCTTCAACTTGCACGGGAGCTAGAGCTGCAGGAACTGGGTCAGAATCAATCATGTCTTGTTGCTGCCGAGGAGGAACCTGCCCCTTTGTCTTCACAATATCCTCAATCGTTTGGTCTTCAACAAACATAACATCACGGCTTCTCACAACTTCCCTTGTTATAGGGTCAAATAGCTTGTAGCCAAACTCATCACCACCATAGCCAAGAAAGATACACTGCCGTGTCTTCGAATCAAGCTTTGACCTTTCATCTTGAGGAATATGATCAAAGGCCTTGCACCCAAAAACCTTCAGGTGGTCATATGGGACATCCTTGTCACACCAGACCTTGTTAGGAACATCTCCCTGCAAAGGATAACTTGGTGAGAGATTAATAAGATAAACTGCAGTCATCAAAGCCTCACCCCAAAAGTGTCTGTGTAGCTTTGTACTTGACAACAAGCATCTAACTCTCTCCACAATTGTCCTGTTCATCCTCTCAGCAAGACCATTCAGCTGTGGTGTCTTCGAGGGAGTAAATTGATGCCTAATACCTTGCTGCTTGCAATATGCATCAAATGGCCCAATGTACTCTCCTCCATTATCAGTGCGAATGCACTTGATCTTCTTCTCAGTTTCTCTCTCAACCGAGGCTTGGAATTGCTTGAATACACCTAGTACTTGATCTTTGGTCCTCAAAGTGAAGGCCCAAACTTTCCTGGAAAAGTCATCAATAAAAGTCACAAAGTACTTAGCACCACCAAGAGATCTTACCGACATTTTGCAAACATCGGAATGTATCAAGTCCAGCTTCTCGGGCTTCTTGTGAGGAGGTAGAGTCTTGAAGGCAACTCGGTGTTGCTTCCCTGCTAGACAATCTGAACATTTCTTGATGTGAACTCCTTTCACACCCTTCAACAATTTTTTCTTCACTAGCACTGTCATCCCCTTCTCACTCATGTGCCCAAGTATCTTGTGCCATAGAGCACATTGATCACCATTCTCTAGTGCATTGACAGAAGCACTAAAGAGCTTAGCATGAACATGATACAACACTGAGACCATTTTACCTCTTGCAATAATCATGTTGCCTTTGGTGAGCTTGTACTGCCCTTTTCCAAAACTGCTCAAGTAATCATCTCCATCAAGCAAACCAACTGAAATAATATTGAGACGAAGTGCCTCGACATGCCTCACAAATTTGAGGACTAACCTTGTACCATTTGCAGTCTCCAAATGCACATCTTATTTTCCAATGATGGCTGCTCTATCATTGTTCCCCATCTTCACAACACCAAAATCACCTGATATATAGTTAGTGAAGAGCTCTCTGCGAGATGTAGCATGAATGGTAGCACCGCTGTCCGGTATCCAAATCATCTCGTCACCATCCACAAGGTTGACGGTTTCATCAGAAACAACAGTGACCTTCTCCTCAGTAGTGGAACCAAATCTTCCCTCATTTTCTTCATGCATAACAAGCATGATGTCCTCTTCTACTGCAGTAACTCGGTTGCCCTCTATATCACTATCACTGTCAACTTGCTTCTGATCTTGCTTCTTCTTTTTATTTTTGTCTTTCTTCCACTTGTCACATTGCCACTTAATGTGGCCCTTCTGATGGCAGTGATGACACTCTTTCTGCCCCTTTACCTGGACCTCTGCTCTTACTTCTCCCCCTGGACTGAGTGACCAGCACCTCTGAATGTGAGGAAGAACTAGCTTCAGCCACCTTTCTGGACTCTTCATTTAGTACCCTGGTTTTCACAAGATTCCAAGTGACAACTCCATTAGGTGCTGAATTGCAAACCGTGACCTTAAAGGTCTCCCAGCTGTCCGGTAATGAGCCTAGTAGCAGCAAAGCTCTCACTTCATCTTCAAATGTTATTGCCATTGAAGAAAGCTGATTTATAATGCCTTGGAATGTATTCACATGATCTGCAATTAGAATGCCCTCTTTGTACCTCAAGCACATCAATTGTTTGATCAAGAACATCTTGTTTGTACCTTCTTTTCAGGCAAACAACTCTTCCAATTTCTGCCATAAGGTGCGTGCATGTGTCTCATCAATGATATGGCTCAAAACATTGTCATCGACCCATTGCCGAATGAACCCACAAGCTTGGCGATGATGTACTTTCCACTGACCTTCCTCAATGCCCTCCGGCATCTCAGTGGAGAACACTGGCTTCCAGTATTCTTTCACATACAACAAGTCCTCCATCTTGCCCTTCCATGCTTGATAATTTGTACCATTCAAAGATATCATCCTGCTGGTATTCACTTCCATCTTTCACCACAAGAAACTCAGCAATTTGCACAAGCAAACCAAGGCTCTGATACCACTTTGTTGGGTGCTTGACAGCAATAATGCGCTACACAAATTCACCGACACGGCAAATATGCACACTACACAGCCCCTTCCACTTATGATAAACTTTGAGGACAGATTCAACAAGTAAGCAGCGGAATAACACAAACAACATGCACATGTGACACGGGATTTAACGTGGAAAAACCTCCTCAACTTGAGGAGTAAAAAACCACGGCTGTGGACCGACCGGTCCACAAAACTTTACTATGAGAATGATGAGTACAAAGTTTTCTCTAGAACTTCTAGAGAGATTTACAACACACTCCATGTTGCCAACCGGCAACAACAACAACAACCATAAGAAGCAAGATTTCAACAAAGCAGAGTTTACACAGCTTCTGTATCCTTCAGTGTTTTGCAAACTGCTCTTAAACCACTGAACCAAACAATACCAAATTTGGCAGGCAAGTAGACACATGCGTTCTTGACATCTCCTCCAAGTTTCAGCTCAATCGGACATCATTTGCCTACCCAAACTGTTCGTCTCCCAAAACTATTCTGTTCTGAAATTGCAGCAGTCAGAGCTGACGAAACCACTCTCAAATCTGATGCTCCACTGACCCAATCCTCAAACCACTCTCAAATCTGATGCTCCACTGACCCAATCCTCAAATCGAAGTACTCAAAGTAAAGGAACGAGCTCACCAAGTTTGGGGTCGATCCAAGCACATTTGAGCCTCCAACCACCATCTTGAACACTGTCTAGTCAGATGCAGCAAATCTGGACAGAACCTCTACTACTTCTTCTTCCTCTCTCTCAGGTTGTGTTTTCTCTTGTGTGCTCTCACTCTCACTCCCATGAATGGCAGCTGCCACCAGCAGGGGTGGAGTGGCTAGGGGTTTCTCCTTGCTTCACTTCACTTGGAAGCACTCTCAACCGTTGGATGCAGCGAGGATCAACGGCTGACATGTGTTGGACTTATGGGCTGATGTTGGGCTGCCAACACACCTCCATGTGGAGGGACTTAGCCCAACAGACTCACGGTGAGGTCGAGAGGCGCATCGTCTCCCAGCTGCTGATGCTGATGGATGGCATGAAGGCCCGCATGCATGTCATCGTCATGGGCGCCACGAATCGCCCCAATAGCATCGAACCTGCCTTGAGGTGCTTCGTGAGGTTCGATCGCGAGATCGACATCGGCGTGCCGGACGAGGTCGGGCGTCTCGAAGTGCTTCGCATCCACACCAAAAACATGAAGCTGGACAAGGACGTCAACCTGGAGGTGGTTGCCAAGGATACGCACGGCTACGTCGGTGCCGACTTGGCCGTGCTCTGCACTGAGGCGGCACTGGAGTGCATCAGGGAGAAGATGGACATGATCGACTTAGAGGATGACACCATCGACGGCGAGATCTTGAACTCCATGGCCGTCACCAATGACCACCTTAAGACGGGCCTCGTCGGCACAAACCCGTCCGCGCTACGTGACACCGTCGTGGAGGTGCCCAACGTCAGCTGGAACAATATCGGCGGCCTCGATAGCATCAAGAGGGAGCTGCAAGAGACCGTTCAGTACCCGGTCGAGCACCCGGAGAAATTCAAGAAGTTCGGTATGTCGCCGTCCAAGGGCGTCCCCTTCTACGGGCCACCAGTATGCGGCAAGACCTTGCTGGCGAAGGTGATCGCTAACGAGTGCCAGACCAACTTCATCAGCATCAAGGGGCCAGAGCTGCTCACCATGTGGTTTGGTGAGAGCGAGGCCAATGTGTGTGAGATCTTCGACAAGGCGCGCCAGTCTGCGCCGTGTGTGCTGTTCTTTGACGAGTTCGACTCCATCGCAACCCAAAGAGGCGACAGAGTGGGCGACGCTGGTGGCGCGGCGGATAGGGTCCTGAACCAGCTAATGAAGCTATGTACCTAGGGTAGGGTCATGGACCTGACCTAGACATCCTCCCCTAGGATAGCACCCTAAAGCCAGGATCATTCAAAGAGTACCATCATCCACTCGACCATAGACGTTCCACTCAGAAGAATCAATGTCATTCGACCGTCGCAAAAGTGGCTCGACGGGCAGAAGAGCTAAAGTCACTCTGCACGAACAACGGTCGAGCATTTACTTGTAGGCTCAATTGTCATTTATAGCACCTAAATACAGGCGTTACCAGTAACGTCTCCATCTTTATGTACCTTAAACCCTTTGTAACTGAGGGCGAGAGGGGTCTGGCGAACTCTATATAAGCCACCCCCCTCCTCAGGGACAAGGGTTCGCACCCCCTGTAACACACACGCATATAATCCAGTCGACCGCCTCCGGGCTCTGAGACGTAGGGCTATTACTTCCTCTGAGAAGGGCCTGAACTCGTAAAACTCGCGTGTACAACTCCTCCATAGCTAGGATCTTGCCTCTACATCCCTACCCCCCATTCTACTGTCAGACTCAAAACCACGACAGTTGGTGCCCACCGTGGGGCAGGTGTCTTAGCGACTTGTTGGAGAAGTTGCGATTTTTCCGATCCCCATCAACATGGTTTCGGGCGGAGGTTTGGCCGAGGGCCGCGAGATCCGTCTTGGTGCGCTCGTGTTCGTCGCCGACGACTCCGCTTGGCTCCAAGAAGCGCCACTTGATGTCGAGGCGCTCCTCGTCCGCGGGGCAACGCACTTTCGCGCGTGCATCCGTGGCGTTGTCCTACGGTAGCCGTCGACTCAGTATCGATCGACTCCTGTGCTGACCCCCCTCCCTGCCGCCCGCTGGAGCAAGCGTTCCGGTCGATCGAGGCTTCATCGATGGGTGAAGCATGCGGTGGCTCGCTAGTCGGTCACCCCCCAAGTCGTGGCAATCGAGCCTGATGAAACTCTTTACGGCCTGTTCAACTGGCTCCGTAGAGACTGCATTCGAGTGCGACAGCAGCGACCCCGCGGCAGAAGTTTTAATGGTCAATGGACCACGCAGTCCTCTTGGCTTCACTCGTGAAGAAGGAGGCGACGGGGGCGGCGATCCGTCGCGTGTTCACAAAGAGTACCGCCCCGAACCCCTCTCTTCGCAACGAAGGGAAGAACTTCGCCGCCGGAACATGGATGCGCTTCACACTCCTATCGTTGGAGAAACCCCTGAGGCCCAGGCCTTGGAGGAGGCGCGCCTGGCCAACTTGGCTGAGCGGACTTGACTGGAGAACCTCCAGCGCGCACTCGATGAGCGTGCTCGGCAGTGTATCCCCGAGTCCAGTTGATGTCAACTTTTTCTACCTCCGGCTCAGGTATACCGAACTCCGATCCAGAATCTCGCAGCTGCGGTCTGAATAGTGGAGTCAATCCAACCTTCCTAGTCAGAAGCTGGTCGAGGTCTGGTGCAGATCCGGGCTTTGCTCCGTGCAGCGGGAGAGCAGAATATAGCAGCATCTCAGTCGCGGAATAGGATCCATAGCAGATCCGTGGTTGCAGACACAACCCAGTCGGCTCACAGCCCGAGATCGCCCCCGAGGCATGAAGGACGTGAAGACCGGCGAGATCAGTACAGAAACCGCGAGCAGTATGATCACTGACTCGATCACGATGATTGTCGTCGAGTGCCCACGCCTCCCCCAAGGAGTGGGTCATACGTGCCTCGGCAGCATGATGACAGACGTCCTCACAGTGGTGGGCGAAGGATTGCAGTCGACCCCAGGGAGCCGGGCTTTGATGCGAGATCTATTCTCGTTCAGGGTCTGGTCAACAGAAATAGAGCTCACAGAGAGGGTCATGACAGAGATTTCCCAACCAGCAGCAGGGTACATGTCTCAGGTCCAGAGTGCTTCAACAGAGCCATCAGGGCTGCGGTGATTCCTCCCAACTTCAGGTTGGCGACTGGAGTCAGTAAGTTCACTAGCGAGTCCAAGCCTGATACTTGGCTTGAGGATTATCGAGTGGCTGTACAGATTGGTGGTGGCAATGATGAAGTGTCCATGAAGCACCTTCCTTTGATGTTGGAGGGCTCAGCCAGAGCGTGGCTGAATCAGTTAGCGCCTGGTAGTATTTATACTTGGGAAGATTGTAACACCCTCGATGCGGCTATATCTCCTACGTGTCAAAGCACGACTTAGAGGCATAACCGCATTGAAAGCAATATCGCAAGTGAGGTAATCATCATAACAACCCATGTAAATAAGTAAAGGGGAAAGGTACATAGTTGGCTTACACTCGCCACATCACACAAATATCATAAATAACATTACATTCATCCAATACAATCAGGGTACGACTATGGTACCAAAATAAAGACCAACCCCTAAATGCGACAAAGTCCCCGATCGCCCCAACTGGGCACCACTACTGATCATCTGGGAAAGACACGTAGTAACGACGAGAGTCTTTATCGAACTCCCACTTGAGCTCGGTCATGTCATCTGGAACAGTATCATCAGTCCCTGCATCTGGTTTTGGAAGGAATCTGTGAGTCACGGGGACTCAGCAATCTCACACCCTCGCGATCAAGACTATTTAAGCTTAAAGGTAAGGTAAGGTATTATGTGGAGCTGCAGCAAGCGACTAGCATATACGGTGGCTAACATATTCGCAAAAGAGAGCGAGAAGAGAAGGCAAAAGCACGGTCGAACAACTATGATCAAGAAGTGATCCTAGAACAACCTACTTCAAGCATTACTCCAACACTATGTTCACTTCCAGGACTCCGCCGAGAAGAGACCATCACGGTTACACACATGGTTGATGCATTTTAGTTAAGTTAAGTTTTAGGTTATCTACAACCGGACATTAACAAATTCCCATCTGCCTATAACCGCGGGCACGGCTTTCGAAAGTTCAAATCCCTGCAGGGGAGTCCCAACTTATCCCATCACAAGCTCCCACGGTCAACGAAGGATATTCCTTCTCCCAAGACAATCCGATCAGACTCGGCATCCCGGTTACAAGACATCCTCGACAATGGTAAAACAAGTCCAGCAACACCGCCCGAATGTGCCGACCAATCCCGATAGGAGCTACACATATCTCGTTCTCAGGGCACATTCAGATGAACACTACGTACAACTAAAACCAACCCTCAAGTTTTCCCGAGGTGGCGCTGCAAGTGGCTCTGTTTGGACCAACACTCAGAGGAGCACTGGCCCGAGGGGGTTTAAATAAAGATGACCCTTGGGCTCCGGAAACCCAAGGGAAAAAGAGGCTAGGTGGCAAATGGTAAAACCAAGGTTGGGCATTGCTGGAGGAGTTTTATTCAAGGCGAACTATCAAGGGGTTCCCATTATAACCCAACCGTGTAAGGAACGCAAAATCCGGGAACATAACACCGATATGACGGAAACTAGGGCGGCAAGAGTGGAACAAAACACTAGGCATAAGGCCGAGCCTTCCATCCTTTACCAAGTATATATGTGCATTAAGATAAACAAGATAATATGGTGATATCCCAACAATAAACAATGTTCCAACAAGGAACGATCTCCAATCTTCACCTGCAACTAGCAACGCTATAAGAGGGACTAAGCAAAGCAGTAACATAGCCAAACAATGGTTTGCTAGGACGGGTGGGTTAGAGGTTTGGCATGGCAATATGGGAGGCATGATAAGCAAGTGGTAAGTATCGTAGCACATGCATAGCAAAAGAGCAAGCATCTAGCAAGCAAAGATAGAAGTGATTTCGAGGGTATGGTCATCTTGCCTGCAAAGTACTCCGAGTTGCCTTGATCCTCGTAAGAGAACTCAACGGGCTCCTCATTCACGAACTCGTCTCCCGGCTCTACCCAAACAAGAACAACAAGCTAAAGGAGCACAATCAACCACGTGCAATGCTCAAGCAACATGATGCAACATGGTATGATATGCGGGATGCGGTATGTGATGCATATGCAAGATTTGCAAAGGAATGATTGAACCTGGCCTCAACTTGGAAAACCAAGAGTTCCACTGGAAAGGTGAGTTGATTTCGGTTGAAATCGATATAAAGATCACCGGAATCGGATGCACGGTTTGGAAATGGCAAGCAAAACAAATATGGCACCGGTCTGCGATAATCAGCAAGTAGCCATCTAAATGCAACAAGAACAACATGCCACAACACTCAAACATAATAAAAAAATACATGGCAGGGATCCACTCATGAAGCTTGACAAAAGAAGAACATTGAGCTATGGCTAATTCATCTATTAACAGGTTCAAACAAGCATGGCAAAAATGCAAATGATAACAGGTTTCAGACTTAGTGAAATTAACACAAGTCTGGAATTTATCATCAGGACGCAATCTTTAGAGCATGAAAACTACATGCTACAGGAACATATCATGGCAAATAAAGGCATGGAATGAAGCTACTATAAGCATATAACAAAAGTCCCTTAGTGACCTTGAGCCAAAAGGGATCAGAAAATACAATTGCAAGCATGTGAACATAGCAAAAACATAAACAGATTCAGACTTTGTGAAAAACTGGAGCATGCAAAACAGTTAACAAGTAGGCATGTTTACGAGCTCGATGCACTCACTACAGAGCATGGCATGACAAACTAAGCATACACCCATCAAGAAGACATGGCATAGAAGCTATAAATGGCAAGAACAACAACATAGCATGCACGGATCAATAGCAACATCCTCGGCAAAATCGCTAAACATGTCAACAATCTTCCAGGATCATTTTATAGCAAACGTAGAGCTCGATTGACTCAAGCTAGGGTGCTCCATAATTGCAAATAAAGACATGGATGGATAGAGCACCACAATGTTAACAAAACATCCTTACTGATCATCCTCCAAAGAGGCACAGATCACTAGGAAACAACATGAACATATGATATAAAAACAAAAGCAGGACAAGGACTTAGTGAAAAACTAAGTCCCTGAAATCAGCATCAACGATTACGCTACTTTGCATGCTTGTGCTAGTCACCACATAGATCACAAAAATACATGGCA